GCAGAGCAGGGCTGGACCTGCCTCTCCTGCTCCTCCTCCAGCTCACACTGTAAATAAAGGTTTTAAGATGTAATCCTTGTGTTGGTGTCAGCACCAGGACCCCCCCGGGAGGACTCGGGGGGGTGTCCCCCCTTCCCCTGTACCCTCACCTGGCTGTAGGTGTGGGGAGATGATTCTCTAAAATGGGCTAAGAATTGTGGCCAAGTCCACTTGGATTTGGAGTGGAGCTTTGCTGGCACCACTCAAGGCCAAAATAACTCCCTACACCAAATTCTGAGTTTGGGATACATTTCAGTGGGAAGAGTCATCCTGCAGCAGGCAGAGGAGGATTTGGGGTGTGGGGGGAGATCTTGAGGGAGAGTTCAGGGGGAGAGGAAAGAACCCCTTGGGGTTCAGGGGAAGATCTTGGGGTGCAGAGGAAGAACTCAGGAAGATCTTGGGATTCTGGGGGAGATCTTGGGGTTCTGTGGGAAAGCTCAGGGTGCAGGGGAAGATCTTGGGGTGCAGAGGAAGAACTTAGGGGGAGATCTTGGGATTCTGTGGGAGAGCTCAGGGGGGTCTGTAGGAAAGCTTAGGGTGCAGGGGAAGATCTCGAGGTGCAGAGGAAGAACTTAGGGGGAGATCTTGGGGTTTCTGGGGGTAAACACAGGGTGCAGAGGAAGATCTTGGTGTGCAGGGGAAGAACTTGGGAGATCTTGGGGCTCTGGGAGAGAGCTCAGGGGGATCTGGGAATAAACTCAGGGTGCAGAAGAAGAGCTTAGGGGAAGATCTTGGGTTTCTGTGGGAAATCTTAGGGGTTTGTAGGAGAGCTCAGGGTGCAGGAGGAGATCCTGGGGTTCAGGAGGAACCCCAGGGGTGCAGGGTGTGTGCAGCCAGACACGTGTCAGTAGAAACCATTGAAGTTTATTTGCAGTCACAATGCTTACACTGTATGCAGCAAACACCCTTACAAGTCAACCAGCATCTGCTCACGCGAAAAAGGACCCAACACACAATCGCCAGAGGAAAGAAAACAAACAAACAAAATGTAAAAAAAAAAAAAAAAAAAAAAAAACCAAAACGAAAAAAAAAAAAGGAAGGGAAAGAAAAATAAAATTAAAGAGTAGGAGGTGCCTGGGAAGAGAAACTGAAGCCCTAAGGACTGAGTGTCTGTGGGTAGAGCTGAGCAAGAGGATGCACACGACTAGCAGCAACAATAGTGGGCAAATACAAGGCAAACAGGTTCCCTCCCCCATCAGCTTTCCTCTGTTCAAGTCAACTCTCTAGCCATTTGCTATCCCAAACATTTATTACGGTGACTTAGAAAAGAAATGGAATCGTTTCCAAGGGGTGGGTCAATACTTCATGCTAGGCACACCTTGTTATTACGAACCCTCTGTGCTGCTCTGAGCTCCTGCTCCACTCTGGGGGGGGGAAAAAAGGGGCAAAAACTCAACTGAAAGGAGAGGGGAGGGAGGAAAGGGGCACAGGGGCTACTGCTACACGGGGGGGGCAGCAGAGACACCCACGAGCAAGCACGAACGGAGGGGCACGCCATGGCTTCGAGTTCCTAATAACAAGGAGACAGGACCAGGAAATCGTGATTTTTTTTTTTTAAGGGGCTTAATAAGAAAAAATATACATTTGGAATTTTACAATGGGGTTTTGTTGTTGTTGTTGTTGGGGTGGGGTTTTTTTTTATCTTTTTTTTTTTGTTGTTGTTGTTGGGTTTTTTATGTTTTTTTGTTGGTTTTTTTTTTTTTTTGCTTCTTCTCTACAACTTGTCACTAAATAGATCTCTCTGCAGGTTCACACAGCCACCCCCTCGCCCTGTAAAAGCTTCAGGCCACTCTT